TTACAACGTCGTTGCCAAGCGACGAAAACCCAACCCCGATGGCGAGCACCGGGAGGAAGGGAGGTCATTTGGGCGGGGGGGGGCAGATGTGGGGGGGGGGCCAGGACATTTACCCATGTATCCCCGGGTTTTCCGCCGAGGCGTCGGCGCTTCGGTGTCATGTGGGGAGGGGGGCGGGGGGGCGTACACTTCTGTTTTGCATGCCTTAGCGGTTAGACCATTGACCACGCGTCCTCGAGAGGACGGAGCATTGTTCCCACAGGACCGATCACCGATGGCCAATCGTTCCTTTCCACTTTGCCAAAGGTGGCTCAAAAATGTCTTCCCTAGTCTGTTATTCCTAACGATATCCCTTCCCGCCTTTTCAACCCACCTCCTATGCCCCACTACAGCTACCCTCCTTTCCTCTCTATTCCATGCCTCAAACATCTCCCTGTACGTTCCATCTATTTTTCCCAGCTCAGTCACGTACACTTCCCTCTCCTTCTTGTACAACGGACATTCCGCGACTATACTACATGAACACGGTCGTCGCATTCCGAGCCGTAATCACCTCTCGTCATCTTCGTCGTCTACCGTCCTATGTCTTCGTCGACGTTCTCGAAGGCCTATGTCCCCGGTCCTGAATTTGACCTTAAGCTTTGTTCCTGCATCCATTGGTCCATGTAGGTAGTCCTTGAACCCTATTCCTTCCTTCAACATTCCGTACACTTCTAGACCCTCCTTATCCTTGGATTCTTTCCTCAGATTCTGTTCTTCTCTCTCGGCACAAGCAACAGATATCTTCTCCTTGAACCCCTGTAGACCCTCCGTTTCCAGCGTTTCATCTTCGTCGATGTCGAGCCCCTTCCATACGTCCTCTACAACCTTGACCCATTCCGTGGGTTGTCTACCCCTCTTTTTGTTTGCCCACTTCGCCTCCCATACAATTGTCGGCAACCTCTCCTCTCCCATCCCGCACATGTGATACTGTAATGTCAGCTTCCTCGCGTCTCTTCCCGAACGTAGGGATTGGATCCCCAATTCTGCCCTCACGGCTGCATTACTTGTGCGCCTGGAGCATCCTAGGATGGTTTTCGCTGCTTTCATCTGCGCCGCCTCGAGTTCTTTCACTACCTTCTTATTTCCTTCCCATACTTCTCCGGCGTACTCTAGCGGCGGTACGATTACGCTCTTCAAAACCGTCAATTTGATGCGTGTATCGAGGTGCCGGTTTGCGAGTATTGGATGCAGCTTCCCTGCTCGTGATTTGCCCTTTTCCGCTACCTTGGACATGTGTGCATTCCACGAGCAGTCTTTTGCGATCTCTACTCCAAGGTATGTGTACTAGTCCACTACTGCAATCTCCTTGATCCCCCACTTCCATCTATGTTCTGCTGGTTCCTTCTTGTTCTCGTTGCATACCATGACGGCACTCTTTTTAACGTTGGCAGACAATCTCCACTTATCAGTAAACTTCTTCGCCGCGTCAATTTGCAGTTGCAGTCCCTCAGGGGTGTCCGACATACCGACAAAATCATCCGCAAACAGCATTCCTGAAACCGACGTTTCCGTGTCCCCTACTTTTACTCCCTTCCGGACTGCCTCTACGACTTCCAACAGATCGTTGATGAACACCTGGAACAATGTTGGGGACAGCGTGCAACCTTGTGGGACCCCCTGCTCAATGTCGAAGAATTTTGACAGTTCTCCGTCTAGCATGACCGCGCTTTTCGTGCACTCTGTCATCTTCTTCAGCACTCTCCACATTTTCCCCTTGATCCCGTATTTGAACCGTTGTTTCCACAACCCGTTTCTCCATACGATGTCGTATGCCTTTTTCACGTCCAGGAAGAAGCAGTACGTCGGCTTTCCCGCCCTCTTTCTACCTTGGATGATTCTCCCTACCGTATTTTCGCTGCTTTCATCTGCGCCGCCTCGAGTTCTTTCACTACCCTCTTATTTCCTTCCCATACGTCTCCAGCGAACTCTAGCGGCGGTACAAATA